TAACAAAGCTAGACAGGGTAACCTTGCTTGGTGACCGTGGAGGGTTGTTCGCTTGTTTCATCTACATAAACATTGGCATGTGGAACATTTTTACAGACGCATTTGCTTGAGCAGATGTTGTTTGTTGCCCAAAGCACAACCATTAGACGGCAACAAAGCTAGACAGAGTAGCTTGGTGACCGTGGAGGGTTGTTTGCTTGTTTCATCTACATCAACATTGGCATGTGGAGCATTACTACATACGCATTTGCTTGAGCAGATTTTGTATGCTGCTCGACAGCACGACCATTAGACGGTAACAACGCTAGACAGGGTAACTTGCTTGTTAACATGGAGTGCTTTTCGCTTGTTTCATCGACATAAACATTGGAATGTGGAGCATTATTACAGACGCATTTGCTTGAGCAGGTGTATGTTACATGATAGCACGATCATTAGACAAAGCTAGGCAGGGTAAATTGCTTGGTGACTATGGAGGGTTCTTCATTTGTTAAACATTGTCATGTGCAGCATTATTACAGACGCATTTACTTGAGCAGATTTTGTATGTTGCATGATAGCACGATCATTAGACTCCCCAAACAAAGCTAGACAAGGTAACTTGCTTGGTGACCATGGAGGGTTGCTTACTTGTTTCATTTTACATAAACTTTGGCATGTGGAGCATTATTACAGACGCATTTGCTTGAGCAGATTTGTATGTTGCATGATAGCACGACCATTGAACGGCAACAAAGCTAGACAGGGTAAACATGCAAAGTATCCATGGAGGACTTTGTGTACATGCTTCATTTATCTTATCTTACATAGACATTGGAATGTGGATTTTCGACATTTTTCTTGTGGTTTAGAGTATTTTGAGCGCATGGATCTTGGGCTGGATAATGTCTGTTKCTGCTATTTTCAAAATAGATCATAATTTTACCAGTMATGCCKWATAGTGCAGCTCCTTGATTTAAAACCCTCAAACTTCCCGGTACTTCCTTGCAGTTCGGTTGATCTAAAACAATTTGTTTAACGAATCTGCAATCTAGGTTTCCAGMAGTCTTTGTAACAAGACTTCCRCCATTAGGAASACAGGCAAYCCAATTATTGATATTCGACTTGACCAAAAATTCGCTGCCAATTGTTTTCCAGGTGTTAAAGTCAATGGCGTTCATGTCCGTTTCATTCTTAGGCGGAGTGTTGGATTCTTCYACATCGACACTGCCGTACATATTCTGTGGTATCGGTTTAGCATAGTTATTGCCAGAATYAAAGCTATGATAGTTATTGAATGTAAAAGACCAGACCAGTGTCCAGCCTCCTCCGTCTGTTTCCATATCGCAGTAGCTTAGGAATGTCTCTACGGAGCCGCTCAGGTCTACATCCAGCCAATAATTGCCCGATGGCAATAGTGGGTAGGACTGCTTCAATTCCCCGCAGTTCTTTACCGGTAGYTGGGATGATCCGCCTATCCCAGTCCATGTTCCTGATCTTGCAATGTCTGGAAAGGAACCTATTGTTTAGCTTTCATCGCGTTCAGTTTTCTATCGCTTATCTTGTCATGATTATATTRTAGTCTGRCCTGCCAAATCACACTTAATGACATACTTGCATAGCATACTCGCTCAAAAATGTTTTCATTAACGCCATCTGGGAATATGGTTATTCTCTACATGGCATACGGTAAATTTAATGTCATGAAACCATTTTKAAGTGACTCCTTCAAAGTTCGTATATCAAATGAAGTTCTTTTCATTTTTATTAACTTATTGTAATTAACATGCAGAGAATCAGAAATTATTGGGCTAGGTGTCATTCAAGGGTACTTTAAGGACAGTAGTCATAAAGACAGACTTTATATTACAATAGCATGCATTTCGAATCTGACGACATCTTTCCAACTGTAGTAAAACTCACGAATATATATATTTGATGATTTTGACCCTCAGAGCCGGGATGAACCGTTTGTGAGCAGGTGTTTTTACTTGTTTATCGTTTATTCTATTCTTTATTTCCAGCTATTTCAGAAAACGTTGTGGGAGAGAACGGCGAACGGCGATTGTCGAAGGGAGATTGCACGACAGAAAGCGACCGAAAGGTTGCACTGTTTTGATAAACAGAAATTCACTTATCGTATTCACCTTACATAGAAATGGTGACTAAATGGAGSCAATGTTTACTACAAACCATCTTACAGTACAAATCAGTTGTTATTGACTTTCAACTAGCAAAACCCATGGTTACTTTCGGTCGTGCAATCGCCGTTYGACMAYTGACATTCGCCATTTTAYYYGACAACCTTTTTTGAAATAGGTATATTTCCAAAATGATTWAACTAATTTCAGTTATATCAGATATATGTTTGCTCGCAATATGTCATTCCATTTCAATATMGTGAAGTTTGCACATCCTTCGAAATTAAATAAAGCCGGCGTCATTGAAATTCAAATAGCCCGGATGTCAAGAAGAGAATTAAGACAACTATAACTATCTCTATTAATTTTTAATTCAAAGTTACGACTAAAGCATCATGGAAAGATCCCGATAAAAAAAATATTTAGAATATGAAAATATCCCTACAGTAGAATTACGAGTTAAGAATCCTTACAATCGTTTGTAATCTTTTCATAGATATTCCGAAAGAGCGGCCAATTTGTAATTGTCACTCTTATTGCGGATTGAATTACAGGAAATAATGACTAAGAATGTATTTTCGTTAAATATGTTTTTCTTTTTGTTTAATTTGTGAAACAAATATGATCAATATAAAGCCACAATAGTGAAGTGAGATGTACATTTAGATTTTATGGTATCTCATACCTTCAATTTTGTTGATGTTAAAAAGGTATGTTCCTTGWGCATCATCTTSCATCTTGTYCKGGTGTGAAACATGTGAAGCATARTTCAGCTCACAAAYAGCYTTTGAAGGGTAGAAATTMACACTGAAACATGCTCTGTGATCATYACATTCYCTGTAACACTGGAAATARCTGTGARCATTATTGACGACTTGAAATAYAAARCCGGATAGTGTTTTGTTTTCAATGGATTTGAACGAATCAAACATGAAATGGTTTTGGGAAAAYKCTGCTTTCCTAAAGCTTACTATCAGAAGCACYRTTGTCCAGCGTATGATGCCTTGGTAGAATCGACCAGAKGAGCTRTGAGCTTTCATTCTTGATTCATCTATATCTAAATCTCTTGTTCGTCCTCTCGTTCTTCTTTAGCTTCTTTTTAATTTTTCCTTTTCTCCTTCCATTCTTSTTTGTCTTCTKCTTCTCCTCCTCCTTCTTCTTTTCAATTTCTTGAATCAGTTCTTATGTTAGTTTGTGTTTGTTTCTTTGAAAATCTTCTTCTCTCACTGTTTTTTTTAGTTTCAATCCACCTCTACTTCTCATAGTGCTAAGTATCATTTTGCATGATGTGTTGAACAATAACTCTGAGTCATATAGCCAGCTGCGAGAGTTCAAAGCCCAGAACTGTGCAGCTGCCATATTGAAAGCAGTGGAGAATTTGGAGGGGACCACAGTTTGTCAGAACAATCCTTACAAAGGCAAATTAACTTTATAAAATAATGTAATGTGGCCGTTCTTCTTTTTCCGTATTATTCACAGTCGTTTGTTTTGTTTTATAAATGGTCGTCATGTTTTAGAGTTTTAGTTTTTCTTGTACTTTTTTCTTCTTTTTTGTTATTCTGTTATCTTTSGTATTCTTCTGGTTAGTAATACAGACAACCCCATAAACGTTGTTTAGTTGTAAACTGAGATGTAATTAAAGACAGCAACAAAGTTTTTTTGCATATATGGTGTATTTTTTGCAAAATTATTCAACGCAAGTTTCAAAACTTTATGACAACGTCAATAACGAAGTTTTTAGTCAAAATCCTTCTCTGGGAATATAAACAAAAACAAAACATTTTATGCAAATGACTCTGTTCTTGTCTTTATGTCTTGACAAGTGAATAGTAATTAGGATTGACTGTCAGCAATTGCACTAGTTCATTATGACGTCACATCAAAACATTCTATTGTTTTAACGCTAAGGATTATGGTCGCCAGAAGGGATCAGAGTGACTGCATTTCAAATAAAATGTACATGAGCAATCATTTGTATATGATATAATTGAAAACGCGATTCATTGAGGTTTTACTTTAGTAGACAATATAAATGGGTCCAAATTGCCACTGTTTTTGAGCATCGTTTTCCAATGTAAACATACTGAGACGTCATAATGAAATAAAGGGCAATTAAATCTCAAAGTCCAATTGCCAGTTGAGCAGGTACGTAGAAAAATCAGTTCAATATTCTAGACAAATATAATTCTTCTAATAAATTCGCAGAACCGTTGTGGTTCCGTTTAGAATAATTACGTTAATTAGTTGTCGCAAGTAAAGCTCATTATCATATGACCCGTATTTCGGCCCTACGCGCGCTCTCACTGAAACCTTTGGAAAATGCTCACGTGATGTGGTCCGTACGCCTTTTCGCGACTGGTCCGTACAAACCCGTATTTTCCCGGCTTGAAGTTCCGCGCGCTTTTATTTATTTTTTTACATTAAAAAACGCTGTCATATGATAAAATGCTTATTGACTGAGTTAGGTCGGGCCGTACGGGAAAATATTTGGCTCTCGGTCATTTGTACGGCATAACCTCGAGCCAAATATTTTCCCGTACGGCCCTCCCACTCAGTCAATAGAGACCTTTA